GCGCAACGCAGCCGACTAAATTTAGGAAGCCATTAAGGCAAAGGCATTCTTTTATGTAAAAGAAAAAAAAAAAAAACACATTAACAACCAAAAATTGCCATGCTCTATAACCCTTCTGTGCTTGCAGTGGGTCTCATTATAGAATTCGATCCGATTTTAGTGCTTTGTAGAACATCAGACATCACAGTGAGTGGTGAAGGCAGACGGCTAAGAGCAGACTCGTCCACAAAAGGCAGAAACAGAGTTAAAAACCTCTCAATGAAGGAGTTACTTTCATTCCCGTTTCAGACTTTGACGCCAAGAGTTTTAAAGTGAGCAGGAGCTGACAAGTCAAACATTTTTACGCGCTGACTTGACTGACTGATAAAAGTTTTAGGGTTCTCAGTTTCTGCTAAGACAACTTGAAAAGCGCAAACGTTGGAGGAAAAGATTAAAAAAAAAATACAACTGTATTATACAATTAAAATGGCACTAGCGTCATTCTAACGGTAAGTTGGGACAAGGGAACTTGTATTGTGCAAAATACTTACAATATTTGGCACAGACAAATGGACAGACTTCTCAACATGTGAAATACAGGTAGCAAAAACCAAAAATTTGATTTTTTTTTCTTTTTAAAGATCAAAATACTAGTTTTGCACTATTTTGTACACAATCATCACACATATAACCAAGTAAGATCTTCTGAAGCGTTTGGCTCTAATATACAACAATTGAAAAAGTAAAAAGAACAATGAAAACTCTTGAAATACACATGCAGCAATATATTCGGTGAGTTTAACTATGTATGTCAGTTTGCTGGGAACCACATAAAAATAAAAATAAAAATTTTTTCAATCTAATTTTATTTCCTCAATGAATAAAAATGCATTCCACATAATAGACCAGGCACAAATATTATCCTTGATAACTGCTTGATTATTGATTTGTTTAGGGATTTCCTGTAGAGGGCGCCAAAGCTACCACTGTGGTGACTTTACTCTCTTCTCCAAAGAGTGTTTTTGAGTAGAGTTAACACTGGGTTTTATACGTTGCTTTTCCCAGTTTGCTTTAATAAAGGTTTTTATTTTCTCAAAAAGGCAGAGCTTACTTGCAAAAAAAAAACAAAAACAAAAAAAACTACAGCTTTGAAATGGGATCATCCAAAACCGATTCTGTCTGATTCAATTGAGTGACAAATGTCCAAAACTAAGCTGAAAATGTTTACTTTGGGTCTTTAAAAAAAAAAAAACAAGGAAAAGACTTATAACACAGCACAACAGAAACCATAAAAAATATTTTCTCCCTCTGGTCTAACACAATTATGGCTTGGAGCTATTTTATTGAATTTTTTTGGTCAGGGATCTAACTACTGGCCCTTAAATATTCTGCCCCATTTGTCCAATAACTATTCCATTTCCCCTCTTCATTTCAGGGAAAAATACGCTAATTAAATCCATTTCATTTAAATTCTGTTGCTAGGAAACAACATAATGGTCCAGCTTTAGAATCAGCCAGCTCTGGCAGCCACCCCTGAACAGGAAGTGTATAATTGTAGACCCATTTAATCGAAAATCTTACCATATTTTTGTTACTTTGAATTTGTCTATATGACCACACAGATTTATTCTAGTGAAAGCCATAATCACAGATGTTAGTTCCGGTGCTTTCTGTTCACTAACGATGGTCAAAGGAAATATAATTACACATATTTTCTCAATTTGGAGGAAAACCCCTTGAATCTGCCTGCAGGACCCCGGAGGCAATTCTGAGACCCCATTTGGGAACCTCTTAGCTGTACCTTTTCAAAACTTTTATAAAAACTGTGAGTTTGTCACAGAGTGCATCTTAATGGTGATTTTGACTATTGAACAGAAGAAGAAAAAACTCGCGTCACTGGTTGTCGTCAAGGGAGCCGGGAGGTAAAGGTGGTGGGAAGTCCATACATCTGGTCAGAAAGGCTGTCTTAAATGCATGCTTTGTTTTCTAATGAATTTAAGAAGAAGTAGAGAAGCACAAAAATGACTATTTCATGAATAGTTTGCTAGGTTTGCTAGGATGAGGTTGTTCCTGAACTGAATCATAGAATGTCAATTTCAAATGTCACTTATTTACTCCGAACCCCACCTCCCCACTCTTCCTGCATACAATAAAAGCTTAAGAAAACCCTTGATTTTTTTTTTTATGCTTTTAGTTTTAGTATCTCCCACCAAGATGGTAATTAAAGATGCATCAACCTTTTTTTTAATGCCAATTTTTGGTTTTCTTTTGGGTCTGACCTGCTTAGTTTGACACATTATTTTTTTAAGGACTATAATTAATAATAGGAATCAAATGTGCTCATCCTTTATAGGTGCGAAAAGGTTCGAATCCAACAGAAAGGGAAAGAGTTTTTAAAAATCCTTGCCATTCATCAGTTGTTCTGGGTTTTTTATAAACTCAAAAAAGTGCAGTAAAATATAGGAGGCATTATTCAAGTTAGTATCAAAAAGCAAAGGGAAATTAAATATTGTAGGTCATGTTATGTAAGGTTTTTCAAAGGTTCTTGTCAATACTGATATCTATGGGCAAGAAGGATCTCCTGTAGCAGTCTGTAAAACAACGATTCTCATGATGCCTCTGACTGAAGAGGCTTTTTTTTTTATTTTTTATAAAGAATCATAATCTCCAGTGCTTCCATAGTAGTCCCCAGAACAGAACCTTTTATTCTGCTTTATTTATATGGCACCTTTCACAGATAAAATCAGAAGAACTTCATAAAACAAATCATTTGTGAGGAACCTAACTAAGTATTTCTGCAGATTAAAGGACTCTGACTTCTGCTGGAAGTCTGAAGTGTACAGAGTGAAAAGTAATGGTGAGAGTACAGTCCCCTGTGGTGCACCTGTGCTGCTAATCACCTGGTCAGACACACAGTCATGCAGTCTCGCAAACTGTGGTCTGTCTGTCAGGTAGTCGTAGATACAAGTGTTTGTAGAGGCCTCCGTCTGTGTCTTCTGGAGTTTTTGGCAAAGTAAATCAGGCTAAATAATGTGAGAAGTCAGATCAACGGGTCTATAGTCTTCAATGACTGATTGGTGGGTTTTCTTTGGTATTGGAACAACGCAGGATGTCTTCCACAACATTGGAACCTTCTCTTGGTTCAAGTTAAGGTTGAAGAGGAGCTGCAGAATCCCACAGAGTTTATCTGCAGAGGCCTTCATCTGGACACCATCTGGACCTGCAGTCTTGTTCCGGTTCAGTTTCCCCCATTTAGCCTCTTCACTTGACTTCTAGAGAGACATGTCTGGGATGTGGAGGCAATGGAAGCAGCAGCACCTCCTGATTTGGTTGAAGACAAGCCTGTAGAAGCAGAAGAGCCAATGACTGAAATGGAAGATAAAACATCTGAGGTTTGACAGAAAAGCTGTGGGTCAAAGGAGGATGGGATGTCTCATCGTCCTCATCTCAGAGGACGATGAGATTGTTCCTGAACTGAACCTATTGAAGAATATGGTCGGTTCATTGGCTCTGTCCAGACTTCCATCTATCCGATACTTCTTTTACTTACAACCTATGATCCTCTTTATCCCTGACCATGCATCTCTGGCCGTGACGTATGTAATGCCCCAGCTTGAAGAAGCTTAAGAGAAATTGCGTGCTCTGTAGTTGGAACTATAGTCGCAACATCTTTGTCAGCGAATGACATGTCATGCATTTTTCTTGTTTCAAATTGAATTACTCAATATTTGGAAGAGTGGCGAACGTAGACTGAAAAACTTTGTTTACTTCTTCTGCAGCAAGACTGCAATTTTATATAGGCAGACTACAATTCTTAAAGAGCATAGAAACTCAACATCATTGTTCACAACACCTCTTTCTGTTAACTGATTGGCCCGACTGAAATTACACTGGAGAAATTAAGCTCAACGGGAGAAATCCCAAAGAGAATGCCGAAAGGAGATGAGATTTTAGCAGAATTGTGTGGGAAGGCAATGGCCAGGTTAGTAATTCAATTGAAAAAGCAAAAAACATTGATTAAATACGTTCATTATGCATAGAGTGATATGTTTCAAGTGTTTCTCAAGTAGTTCATATTATTTTGAATATGGCTTGCAGCTAATGAAAAACAAAAATTAAATTTCTGAGAAAATTGGAGTATTATGTAATATTTATTTTAAATAGACATGTTATGTAATTGCCATCCTGTTGCCTAAACAAAAACTAAAACCGATGGTTATAAAATGTAAGGTTATTGGCAACATCCACAAGAACAGTGAGTATAGTAAAAAAATTTTAAGCTGAGAAAATTTCAATATTAGACCTGATCCTCATTCAAAACCAATTAAAAGAACATTTGGAGTTTCTGATCTAATCAATTATTGCATTTTAAAGCCACTGTCACACTGTTTATCTTGCTCTACATGCTTATTGAAAAACATGCCACACAATTGTCAAACATCGTGTCTTCTTAGGTCTTTGAAACATTTATGTTGTTTTTAACACAATCTCTATCAAAATATTGCATCAGATTATCGTTTTGCCATGACGGGACTGGGTAATTTTGGTCAGATAGTTATTAGCTGTATTAAACAGAAAGCCACTTTCGCCTCCGTTTTCAAGCTTCTGACATTCAGAGGTGAGTTTGCACAATTTTAGTCTGAGACGTAGATTCTTTAAACATGTGCAGTATAAATGTTACAGGCGCACAATGGGAAAAAATTAAAAATTATAATAAAAAAATTGAATAAAAAAATTGGTTTATGTCATAGGGCCAAACTGCATTATGTTCTGGTACTCCGCTGAAACGAAAGACAAATACAAATAGTGTGATGCGGGAATTATTGTCCCTCATTAGAAACTTGGTAGAGGCACCTGTGCATCCTGAAGAACGGTGAGACATGAGCAGACAGACCTGTGTGTGCGTGTGTGAGGCTGTGATGGCAAAAGGTCTGTTAAGGCAAGACCCCCTGAATTCCAATGTTCCCATCTCTTCCATCCCTTCCTCCTCCTCCCACCGCCCTCTCTCTCTCTCTCTCTCTCTCTCTCTCTCAGCATCCAGCAGCTGCGCCTCTCTCATGCCTTTCCTGACGCCGAGTGAAGCCTCCCATACAGATGAGCACTGGAAGCAACGCACCTCTTGACGTAGCCATACAGACCGGTTGCGGTGCCACAGTCGGTGTGCGATACGTCCGTACAGCACGTATTGCGCAACGTGACTGATGCTCTGTACTGGCTCGGTACGGTGGAAACCACACACACACACACACAAAAAGCGGTCTCATTGGCGAGGAGCTGTGGATAAAACCCGTCGGCCGACCGGACCGGAGGACCGGACCCTGCCCTCGTCATTTGCCACAGGGAGAGATGAGCCGACTCGCCGTGTCTCTCGTGATGTAACTCAGTAATTCGCGTTTGTACGTATGGAGATAAGCAGCCTCTGAGGACTTCATCCATCGGAAAGGTGAAGACTGGGAGAATTGGGCTGTTTTGCGGCGACAGGGGGAGTGATGAGAGCTTCATCTGACAGCTCGCAGCCGACGCAGCATCCGCGGCGTGAGCTCTGACCACAGCTGGATTTGATGAGCTACGTCCGTGGGTGCCGAACCCTCGACAGAACCCGTGTGTCCTCACTCGTTTTTGTTGTGTTTTTACTGAGTACTGTTTAAAACATTATAGGCCACTGGAGGTAAGAGGGTGGTTTTTGAATATATTTTATTTTATTTTTATTTATTTATTTATTTATTTTAAAGACCGGCCTCGCTGCAGTTCATTCCCCGCTCCTGGCCGCGCGTCTTACCCGTCTGCCTCATCACATCCTACGCGGCGTCTGGGTGCCGTCAGCCGCTCGGCATTTTCGCTAATTCTCCTACATGACAGCTCTGACACTGAAGGCTAATTTACATTATTTCACTTACCTTCTGTGAAATACACAGACTGAATTAATCGACGAGAACTGCCGCGTCTATGCGCCTCCGTCGCACCGCCCCGGAAAGGACTTCTTGCCACTGAGAGAGCTGGATATGCCGAGATTAACGTGAAAGGATGGATCTAATTGTCGCTGTTTTGGGGCTGCTGGCGCTGGTCGTTGGAGGCATCAGCTGCCAAGGAGTGTACGGTAAGTCCGTGTATCCCACATGTTTTTTTTTGTTTTGTTTTTTTTTTTCATGACCTTGTAGAACAGCTGTTTTCCTATTGCATTCAGTGTCCTTTCATACTGTTGTTATTTGTTGGAAATAGATGTATGGTTGACATATCAGGTCTGAAAGACCATATTAGAGATTGCAGATTCCTAAATGTAGCCCCCCCCCCCATCCTTGGTTATACAGCAAATCGTGTGTGTGCAGCCCCTTTTCTGATCCAATCCATCACTCCCCATGCTCGGTGAGCAGGCTAAATTTAGCAGGTTACATTTATATGTTATTACAGAGGAACCCGGTTGGTCTATTCTGAAGCCTTCGGGATTGTTCTTATTATTTCCCCCACCTTGCTAATTATGATTCAAAATGGCACATGTGACTCCTTATCTGACATCAGGCCAAATGCTTTTGTGGAAGTCATCATGAGGACTGTAATCTGTTGAGCAGTGGTACTTGGTATGCATCGTCATGAGTGATAGTCCTGTGTGTTGGATCTATCTACCCACCTCCTCCTTATGTCTAGCATCTCTGAGTCTCTTGCAGAAGAGACTCAGCTAATAAAAAGCTGGTGTTATATTATAAGGACTTGTTGCAGAAAAGAAAGGTGCGGGGACATTCTTACCACACTCAGCTCAAAGGAACCAGAACATTCTGTCATGATTTCTGAAGGAACAAACAGTAGCTGCTACAAACTGCTGATGTTTAGACGATTCCTTTTTTTTATTATTATTATTATTATTATTTTGCTAGTGTGCAATAAGAGGTGAGCATCGTCATCTGTTGCTGCTTGAATTCCACCACAAAAGCAAAGTCCTGCCCGATGCCTCTGCAATTAGTGTCGCAAATTATATCTGGTATGAATCGTCAGCCTTGCCAGCAGAAGCAGCACTGACAGTGGCAGCTGTAGGAGGACTGAGAGGACAAAGTGATTCATGTGCACCAAGACGAGGACATGGAAGAATCCTTGAGGTGCCCAGCCCTTATCTGTCAGTGCTGACAGTGGCTCTGACCAAAGCAAAAAGGCCCCACGGAGGAACGCTAACGCCAGATGTAGAGACGTGGGGATTGTATTTTTCTCAGGCTTAGAAGATTTTTTTTGTCAGCACGGAGTGTGAGACACAAGAATGGCCACAGTTAACATGACAGAAACTATCATGGGGTCACCAGGATTGTCCTTTTTTGTTTAGAGGCAGGAGCCAAACGGTAATAGGCGGGACAGTCCTGATTGATGATCCAATTAGATTGTACTACTTCTTACATCTACTGATTGTGTACTTTGTGGCTCCAACTCTGGTATAGTTTGCTATATTCCACTTGCATCTGAAGACTGATATCTGAACTGTACATGGCTTCAAATTACAGTTGATTACCCAACAGATAGAAATGAAAAATTCACTAAGGCTACACGAACAAGCTAGCTCTATTAACCTGAGTAAGTCGAAGTGAATAAGGCGCTCTTTTGAGACAATATTTGTTGTGAATTATTATAAATGAACTAAACTGAAATGTAGAATTTTGTGTATCAAATGAAAACTCCTCAGAAATCAAATCAATGTTTTCATTGATAAAGGGGGTGGGCAGTTTGATGATACCTTGATAAGATGCAAAGTGACATGATAATAAACTGCTTATTGTTATAAATGGTGACCATATGTGTGGGACAACAATGCTGGTTTGTGATCTATGGCTGGTGAGGTTTCTCCCATGGTAATGGTTTTCTCTTCAGGTGCCACAGAAATCTGATTTTTTTTTTTTTTTTTTTTTTTTGCATTTGACCTTTTTTTTTCAATTCATAACTTTGAAATTAGAACTTGTGAAGGCAATTTGCATATCAGTGGCATTCTCAAGTCTTGACAAGTGGTGAAAACATTTTAAGTTGTCAAGTGATATGCACTAAAAATAGATTGCATTCATTTCGGCTAATGGGTGTGAAAACAGTAATTTGAAGTTGCCTTAATTGATTTAAGCTGAAATTAATTTTTGCGTGTGATTTTAATGCTTTGCAATACCCATCAAACATTAGAGCTCATATGGATTTCTTTTTCAAATGCTTTAATTAGACAATGTTTGGCCAGTTTCCAATTTCTGGGGTGTGGACAGCTTTGAGCAACTCCACCAATTTGATTTATCTTTAACAAGTATCACATAGCAACACAATTTGAAATAATTTGCCATTTGTGTGATAAAGTTGCTTTAAAAGGCAATTTTAATAACATTTTAAAACAAAGAAAAAGCATAAATCAGTTGACAGATTAAGATTTCTTTAATAAAATCACCGTCACTGTGTGTGTGTTTTCCCAAGAATGTTGGATTCTGTTAGATTTTTTAAAGACATCCAGCAACATGCATTGTGCTCTGTGACAGAGAAACTTTGTTGCACTTAATTCAGCCTTTTTATTACCTGCTGAAAATCTTGTTCTCCCCAGTCTGAATGAACTATAGACGTCTCTCAACATGCAGAAAACACAGTTCTTTTTTTTAAATAGCTCGTCATATCCGTATTGGCACTTTATTGTAAACATCTAGCTGATACTGAAAATAGCTAACGTTGAGTCTTCTTCTGTCAATAAGATTGTTCCCACAAAACACAGTAATTTTCTACAAAATATATTGCTTAGATATGGTAGCAGATTGGAAGAAATCTGGATTTTTGACTTTGATCAGTCATTGTGGCCTAACTAGAGGCCAACCAGTTGGATATTCAAATATGTAACTTGTCTTTAATTTCAAATCGTGCATGCATTCAACTTCAACAGAATCGCAAAGAGTATTACAAACATCTCAGAATATTCTCCACATTGCTTTGTCACTCAGAAAAAATATGACGTATTAATCAAATCTGGTGTTCAGAATAATGGACAGGTGGAATGTTTCTGTCTAAAAATGTAATTTATTGCTTCTTTCCAAGCGCAACCTTTACAGTATTAGCTGTTTAGAGTCAGTACGTTCCTAGCTATTTAACAGGGCTCAGGTCACAGCCTCTAAATCCCTGCCCTCACCTAGCTCAATATTCATTTCTGTGACATGGAATCATCAGCTTCCGACAGACATTGAGAGCTGACAGGCTGACACTAATCATAAGAGCTGATACCGTGAACGTCCGATAAAAGCCGTTGATCCTCGGTGTAAGCATGCTGCCCATGCCGCCGTGTGCGAGTGGATGAAGATGCAAGCAGATTAGAAAGGAATCATATCCCATAATGCTTGATGTGATGTTACTAGAGTGGTATGTGTGGACTTGTGGCTATGTAGCAGCAGCAGCAGCAGAAGGGACAGGGGATGAGCTGGAGGGGTGTGTGGGGGGAAGCACCAGATGGAACTGTTTGGGCATTTAACTCTCAGTGTTTGCATGTATGTTGAGCAGCTTGAAAACTCCCTAGAGCACAGCCAATTCCTCTTTTATTCATCAATACAGTTTCTTAGATTCCCCTTGAATCTTTCTACAGGTTTTGTACAAAGAACAGGGTTGTTTATATAATGGAAGGGCTTCGTTCTCTAACTTGTAAAGCATATTCTCTCAAATGAAGAGGAACCACTGGTGAAGACCTGCATGTGCCTTATGTTTACCGCAAGCCTCTAGGGGAGCCGTCTGTATACAGCAATTTATTGGCATGGCTCAAAAAGTCAACATTTATTATTGATGGTTGCAAAACATTTACGTTTATGTAGTCTTGCCTCCCAGTGGATTCACAGAAGGTTCAGACATATGGTGGGTGTGAGAATTCAGCATGACAGGTGAAAAGCAGTGGGTGTGTGACTGTAATATGAGACACAACACCATAGCATTTTGCATTTTGTTCATGGAAAGTTGTTTTTAAATATACAGAATGCAGTCAAATGACGTAATGTATTCAGACTGCAATTCATGCTTTAATAAATTCCCTTTAGCTTTCTAGAGAGGGATTTTCAATCGTACTAACAGTTTTGGTCACTGGTAATGACAAACAAGTCACAAGTTGTCGTCCAAAGGAGCTTGCAGCCTTCTGCAGATTAATGTTTTCCTCAAGCTGTGAGAGTAAGCATGTCTGTCACTCTGTTACGCTTTGTAATTTTTCATGTAGTGGTTATGCTTCAAACTCACTATGAATAATAGGAGGGTAACAACAATGGAAAATCTTCCATATGCTTTTGGTTTTACACATACAATAAATGGAGATTATAATACTCCAGTACAGGTTTGGCGAGTCCACATATTGGACTTGTTAAAGTTGGTCTAATTTTAAGGTTGTCCTGATTCCAGGAAAACATAAGAATAGAAAAAAAAAGTACAAATTCTACATTTTTGTTTTTCAAAAAATAGTTCTGATGTCAGCTCTGACTGTGTTAAAGAATAGGTATTTGAGAGTAGCTTTATCAAGTTCAGTTTTGATTAAACTGATGTGGAGCCATCAACCAGGTATGATAAAATAAAGCTCTGATGTTTAAGAAAACTGTGATGTTTCATCATCTGTTTCTAACAGAATGTTAAAGGTGCAACTTATGTCACCGTTTCATTTTTCTGCATGAAAAATGCTACACAAATGATTTAAAAGTGGTTGAAGTTTCACATGCTAAGTGCTCTGTATTTGGTAACTACTTACATACCACAGAGCAATTTACTTCCTTTCTTATTTCAAAATAAGGGTCTCAAAGATATTATCAAGCCTAAAGGACTAACTTACTTATCCACAGCTTATAGTTATATTTTGTGCTTATGTTATCAGACCAAGTGACAACAACTGCATAGCTCTCATGATAGAGACTTCATTATGATAACAAAAGATTAACATTGAACTTACTAACACCTGGTAAACATCATGAATATTACTGCTAAAAATTATTTATTTTTTTTAATTTCTGGTCAACATTTAATATCGTCAGAAGATCTCACTGATCCATTCCTAATTGACTACACTGTACTTGTACTTTGTTTCACATTCAGTTACCATTGAGGGTTTTTTTGCCACTTGACTTTATTGCATTTTGTTTTGTTGCATTAACTCCATCTTTCCCTTCTTTGGTGTCTAAATGGAGCCTAAAGCAGATGAGTGGGACATTTAGTACATTTTCTCTGGTTATTTTTATCCGCGGGGATCACTTGATGCCTTCTCCATTGACTAAATGGTGATATCATGATGCAGTAATGAAGAAATCACATAGCAGTGTGTTAAGTGGTGCTGCCATAGTCATTAAGGAGAATTGATGAAGGCTAGTCATCCCACCATGACCGCAGGCCAAAGCGAGAGAAAGTGAGTTTCCACTAAAGTACCAGCATCTGTTTTTTTCCTCTTTTTCTTCCAGCCTCCGATATCTTTTGCAGGGACTTTACCTTTGTAATGCTTTTCTCAACATACGTTTCCTATGTAGATTGATATACATTGAACTCTACTCACCTTCACTTGGTCAAAGCAGCTTCTTAATTGCATCAAATCAAATATATGTGGTCTAGTTAACTACCCCAAATAGCATCTGTACGTAACGGTAGTGACAGCTAAAGGGGGTGTAAATGTTAATATCAGAAAGCTGCAATCAAACATGAGTTTTATGATTGCGCGGAAATGTCTTTGCGCTTGTTACTTTTTCTGGAGATGTACCGCCTTCACTATGTTCCCTTTGCATCAAAGTCAGTCAGAGACAACCTCCATGGGATGCACAGATGTCCCTGATCTCATTTGTGTTGTGCTGCTGCTGCAGAGGGAGGAGAGGAAAAAAAAAGTTCCTCTTGCCTTCTCCCCACACAATTCCACTTCTGCTTCCCTTTTTTTCCGCTGTCTTTCTCCTTCTTCTGTCTCCTGCTCCCTCTCGTTTGCATTGAAGTCCAAGCAATTGCTGAGGTTCCCTTTTCATGAGCCCCGGTTCAGACGCTTTGGCTTCTAAGCTATGCAAATGCATTCTGCCAGTGAAACTAAAGCCGTCTTTGTTGGTTCTCAGAGGCCTCCTCCACAGAGTCCTTCATCATTCCTTTGGATCAGGACCCTTACATTTCCCACCGTAATAAGATAGCAGATAACTCTGTCTCTTCTCCTCCTGCTCAAAGTTCTTATTTCCTTGCCTGTCTTTCCTCTGCCAGGCTCTTCCCTCATTCCCCTCGGGGTAACAGCCGACGGACGTCTGCAGCTTTAGTCGGGGGACAAATGAAGATATTCAGCTGGGTAGAACACAGAACAAGGAATTTGTTGCAGTGGAACACTTAGTTGAACACCTCAAGGATTACTTTGGACCCCTCAGTGGGGCTTCAGATGGGACCAGTTTGATCATTTTGAATATTGCTCCTCTTTGGAGCCGACCCTCAGAGACCAGCACTCAACATACACTGCAGAAACTCTGCTTGAGTTTTAAATCTAACACTCTTCTGCTGAGTTTAGCAGTCTCCAACAGTTAAGTAAACCAGCACTGAGTCGTTAAGATGAAAAAAAAAAAAAACATTGTTTATGCTTTAATGCACTGTATTTTTAACCCGACTCTAATTAGAGTCGGGTTATTTCTTCTACTTTTTTTTAAATTAAGGTTGACTCCACCAGTTAATTATGGCATACATAGCTAGCAGAT